ATGAATTTACACTCTGATTTGATGAAAATAATATTGAGCTCTTCAGAAGAAAATTGTCTCCTTTTTATTATTTTTGAAAACTATTCTTTAATCTATAAAACTAATTTCATGTCAAAATGATTGGGCTATCAGTAGTGAATTACTTTGGAAGAACATTGATCTTTGTTTGTGGCATTTTGTTTTGGCACAGTAATTTATTAACTGACAATTTTCTGTCAGTGAATGACTGTTCTGCTGTAGATTTCCATTTGTGTTAGCAGCACTGTCCCCATGGATTTGGGTTGAAGGTTGAAACTCTGCTAAAGGTTAAGAGGTTGCCACTTTGTCATAGAATCATACAGTGCAGTAGAGGCCCTTTTGGGCCAGCAAATCTATACTGTCAAAAATGCTCTACTACCTACACTTGCCCTACTTTCCTGCACCGGGCCTATAGCTTTGAATGTTATGACCCTTGAAGTGTTGTGAGGTTACCTGCCTCCACTACCCTTTCAAGCAGTGCCTGCCAGACCCCACAGCCCTCTGGCTGAAAACGCTTTTCCTCAAACCGTCTCTTAAATCTCCTGCCTTTTCACTTTAAAATCACGTCCCCTCGTTCTTGATCCTTGTACGAAGGGGAACAGCTGCTTTTATCCACCTTGTCCATGCCTCTCCTAATCTTGTACACCTTTGACAGGTCACCCCTCAACCTTCTCTGCTCCAGAGGGGAAAACAAAACCTGAGCTTGTTCAGCTTCTCTTCTGAAATGCTCCATCCCAGGCAATATCTTCATGAATCACCTCTGAATTCCCTGCTGTGCACTCACATCCTTCCTATACTGCAGAGACCAGAACTGCACACAGTAGTTCTGCTATATCCTAACCAAAGTTCTGTACAGCTCCAGCATAGACTCCCTGCTCTTATAATCTGAATCTTGACTGATAAAGGCAAGCGACCTGTATGCCATCTTAACTACCCTGTTAACCTGACCTGCCACCTTTTTTAGGGGATCTGTTGACAAGCTCCCTTAGATCTCTTTTCCTCTGAGCTTCCTAGTGTTCTCTCATTCATTGAATACTCCATTGTCTTGTTACTCCTTCCATAGAGTCACGTAATGTTTCATCAGGGTTAAATTCCATTTGCCTATCTGATCACTTACCATATTGTAGATGAGACGTTGACCTGGGAGCCACATGCTTGCTTAGATGGATTTAAAAAGACTATCATTGATGGGATGTGAGCGTTGCTGGCTGGGTCAGCATTTATTAACCATTCCTAGTTATTCTTGAAGGTCATGAACGGTCTCCTTGAATCACTGCAGTCCGTACTATATGTAAATTATTTAAATGGTTTGAGTTGAGTACAGTTTTCTTTGATCTTGACATTATGCCAATAATCTCCCAAAAAATACCAATTCGCTGACCATTCTTCTGGGGAGTACTCAGTGGATCTTGTTTAAGCTGTAATTGTCCGCTCTATTTCAGAGATATGAGCATTTTTTGTGATTGTTAAATACTGGTGATATGATTTAGTGTAACACAAAGCTTCATTTCCTTCCACCTTACCATACCAACACAAAAATAGATGCTGAGATTTTGCTGGCCCCCCCAATGCAATGCCCCAGTTATGTCCAGTGCCACAGCAATGTGCTCTCATTCAGATGTACTTCTGCGATGTTGCTCGTAGGTTAAGTATGTGCATGGCACCAGGGAGAACTCCCTAACTCCTCTTTAAATTAGTGGTGTGCAATCGTTTGTATCCAGGTCAGAGGGCAGATGGGGCATGGGTATAACGCCACCACTTACAGTGCAGCACTTCCTCTGTACAGTGTGAGACTGGATTTTTGCGCTTAAATTCTGGAGTTGCTTCACCAAGCCAATAAATTGTGGTTTGAAAAAGTCCTACTAGTTGAACCATGGCTGACAGGACATAGGATCTGGCTTGTATATATTTCCTATCACAATTGAAGGGGGTCCCACTGGTCACTGTGTCTGCATGTAAATGAAGAGTGACCATAACAGGCATGTCAGTGGTGAGATGAATATGAAAGTCGTATTGGTTCAGTTAACAGCAATACCTTGCTGATCAAGAGGTGATAACAACATTTGTTTATCTGGTTCTGGTAAAACAGCCAAGCCTTTCCAAAGTTCCACTTGCCAACCAGCTCGAACAAGACATTTCAATGAAGCTGAAGTTGAAAAATTTAACTGGGATCAGATCTATGGTCAGTGAGTGCCAAATTTCTTCCTCGTCATACTTTTTGTTTCCTGACAGGTTGCTAAAAGAAGTCCACCTCGGCTATGTTCTCTACGTGTTAGAGAAAAGCATTTGAACATCTTATTCCTCCCTTTTTTTCTTTTTTTTTCTTTTTTAAAAGAAAGGGACCTCTGTAATCAAGGATGTGTGTAATACAGGAGTTTAAGATAAAGGTGGATAGATAGACTCTGGTCACAAGTCCATCTCCTTGTAACTTCATTATGGACCCCCACTTGGTACTGCAGTGCGAGCTGTGCATTTATAATTGTCTCTCATAATTGTTTTACACACAGTTCATGTGAGTATCTATTTTGAAGTGTAGTGGCTGTTGAGCAGGCCATACAGCCTTGTTTATCACACAATCTCAAACATGTATTCATATTGTCACAAGATGAATAATCAGTATTCAACATTTGTCACTTGACTTTAGAACAATGGATGGAAAATGGTTTTTTTGAAAGGATGCTTTTAAAGTATTGTTTAAAAATGATTACTGTGATCACCTAACAAGTCCAGGTAACTCTCTCGGAGTGTGAAAACATTGGCACTATTGGAATTGCCACTTTGAATCAAAAGGCACTGAAGCTCGCTAAGGTGTGAAGAAATTCACATCTCTTGTTTTACTCCCACTAATATCATAACTTCAGACATTTGACTTGGGAAGATTATCTGACAAGTGTTCAGTTTTTCTTAAGGACAATGGAGTTAGACTTTGAAAGTGCATACTATATTTCAGTATCTTGCTTTGAGCACAAAACAAAGAAAGCGACATGAACTGATAATGGCAAGAATACTGGAAACTCTACTCACTTGTTCCCTCAAGCTCAGAAACTAACTAATGAAAAGCTGCTTGGCACAATGATCATTTGAGGACATCTGCAGTTTACAGAGAAAACAAGACAGCAAGTAAACCCATTTTTAAAACATTCATGCATGAATGTGGGTGTTGCTGGCTTGGCTAGCATTTGTTGCACTTGACAAGATGGAAATGAGCTGCCTTCTTAAACCACTGCAGTCCATTTGGTGTAGATACACCCACAATGCCATTGGGAAGGGGGTTCCAGAATTTTGATTCATCTTTTCATCTGGCAGCCAAAGGGATTCTTAAGATCTGTAATGGTGTCTGCTTTTTACCTTCTTATCTGTATTGTATCATCTTCTCAACAAGCTAAATTTCATTGTGTGTGTGTGTGTGTGTGTGTGTGTGTACAATATTATGTTGTATTATTTCATTTCATCGTAGTATGTAATAAATTCCTTCATACAAGAAAACATTGAAATTTAGCTCTCCTTTAGTCATCTAGGAGGCTGAGGGGGTGACCTTTATTGAGGTTTTTAAAATCACGAGAGGCATAGACAAGGTGAATACCTAGGGTCTGATTTTGATTTATTGTCACATGTACTTAAGTACAGTGAAAAGCTTTGTTTGTGAGCAGTACAGGCATACAGATCATAGGGCGAAAAAAAGACTTGGACAGAGTAAGGTTACACTGCACAGGATGTATGCGAGGCAACATTAACAAGATCAGCATTATTTGAAGTTAGTCTGTTCATTAGCCTAAAAACAGCAGGGAACAAGCTGTTCTTGAACCTGCTGGTGCATGTGTTCAGCCTTCTGTATATTCTGCCTGATGGAATAGGTTGTCGGAGAGCATTACCAGGGTGCGATGGGTCTTTGTTGGCAGCCTTTCTGTGGCAACGAGACACGAAAGTGGAGTCCATGGATGGAAGGTTGGCTTCTGTGATGGTCTGGGCTGTGCACGCAATCGTCTGTAGTTTGTTATGGTCCTGGCAGAGCAGTTGCCATACCAGGCTGTGATGCACCTGGACAGTATGTTTTCAATGGTGCATCTGTAGAAGTTGGTGAGGGACCTTTTAATGGACATGCCCAATTTCCTGAGCCGCCTGAGGAAGAAGAGGCGTTGTTGTGCCTTCTTGACCATTGCATCTACATGAGACATCTAGGGCAGGTTTTTGGTTATCGTCCCTCCTAGGCACTTGATGTAGGAGTTCAAGACTAGGAGGCATATTTTTAAGGTGAGAGGAGAAAAATTGAAAAAGGACGCCAGAGGTCAACTTTTTTAGGCGGTGTTCATGTGTGGAGTGAACTGCCAGAGAAAATGGTGGAAGCAGGTACAGTTAGTGTTTAAAAGACATTTAAATAAGTTCATGAATAGGAAAGGTTTGGAGCAATAGGGGCCAAGTGCAGGAAGGTGGGACTATTTTAGTTCAGGAACATGGTTGACGTGGACTGGTTGGACTGAAGGGTCTGTTTCCGTGCTGTATGACTCTATCTGGTGAACTAAGGTTATTTGAAGTGTGACATCTATGTACTAAAAAGACATATTAAAAGGTTTTTTTTTTGTGACTGACTGACTGAAGAGTTTAAAAGGAGCTGTTAACCCTCCACACTTCACCTGGTCGTAATACGTGAATGAGGAAGTGACCAGTTAATCAGGTGGTTGAATGGTAGAAGTTCACCAAAGGCCAAATGTAGAACTGCATCCTGCAACTTTTGTTCTGCTCTTTTATATCCTTGCTGATTACACACATACGCTTGTATGGAGCTAATGGAGGCTAGGACATTGGGGATTGGCGTCATTTCTAACGTAGCTGTCTGTCCATTGCTATGTAGTTTGTTCCCTTTTGTGGAATAAGAACTTTTTTTTCTAAAAGAAAAGAATTAAGTGGAAAAATGTCCAAAGTGATGATGTAAAATCACCTACACTGTCCCCAGCCTAACTTCCTTCTTGATTTTATCTTATCAGATAGGGGCCTATTTTAGTAGCATCTTGGCAGAAAAACTTAAACTCAACACTTTTCAAGACACAGGGAAGAAGAAACCTCAGGTGAATGCCAAAGATAACTACTGGTTGGTGACTGCCCGCTCTCAAAGTGCAATTCACATCTGGTTCACGGATCTTGCAGGAAATAAACCATTGACTGTTTTAGCCAAAAAGGTACGATTCCAAAATATTATTTGACTTCTGTATTTGTTTCGTGTGTTTGTGTTGTGTGATTTGTGTACATATGCATAGGTCAAGTGTTGGTTAAATGAGAGATAACAAGGTGTAGAGCTGGATGAACACAGCAGGCC